AATAGTAATTTACATTTTCGTTGGTGTTGCTAGTCAACTTACACATATTTATCTATGCCCAAGTCAATCTGGTGTGACACATCACTGTTTTATGCATTAATATTATGTTGAAGATTTTATTATATAAAGGAATGGCATAATAAACATTCAAGACATATTTCAAGAGTGTTTATTAATTTCGCTATTACATAAAATATCAAATAGGTATTAAACAAGAACAAACATGCAAAGATGGATATCCCTACAAAATTATGTTAAAATGGATATAGCCCTGTATATTTGTTACAATCCAGCAGTGGAAGACATTCCTGTAATTGAGAGTACACAATAATTGCTGAAAAAGGCAAAAGAAGCACTAGACATGTAAATATACATATACTACCAGTATAACAAAACTTAATGGCACTGAGTATACAAGATTATAACACTGTGCACTGCTCATTATTGAAACGGCAAATCTCATTGGTTGAACCAAACCATGTGCAGGCCTGTTATCAGATAACTGGACAGTTTTTGAGATCAATGCAGGAACTGATGACCAAGATTGTATTTGCATCAGCGATATCCATTGTTTCCCTGTTTGTATGTATACTATAAACGCACCATGAATCTTACGTTAACAAATCCTTGTCATTTTCATTTCATGAAAGCACCCAAATTTGTTAAATTCTGATGGTGATTTATAACGATAATGAATCCTCAACAATGTCGTATTGGATTCAGGGAAGGGTCTAGATGCGATGTTTGGCTTTGTCCCACATATTATCTTACCATAGACCCTTTTTCTCTCAAACAAAATGGCGCTGTGGGCAATTCATTATTGTTTAAACAGGGCTCAGACGAGGATATTTACCTAAATAAAGGTTTCGACAGCACAAGTCCTTGCAAAGTTACCATGCAATAATGGGCAGCGTATCATCCTTTATTCCTTGAATATGGTAGTTGCCTGAGGACCATGCCATCAATTACTGGTATTTCAGTATTTCAACAAATACTCAAGATCCAGTTGTAAAAGACACATAAATGCTATTTACATCTGTTACTGTTCAGATAAGCGATAAACACCATGTGCACATAGAGATACTTATCAAAATAGCCAGAGCCAGTAATTTAGATATATTCAATTGCATATTCAAAGAGCAACGCGTAGCAGCTATCAACATGACCCCGGTATTGTAAGGTTGTCTTTTACGATGACAATTACACAAAAATTATTTAACAGTTTGTTTTTATTACAATCATTTTATTCAGATGGTCAGTTAAAATGTAGCCAGCTTGTAATCTCACTGAAATACATACTCATCCAGATATAAAGGATCACATATCAAATTCTTTCTCACAGATGATTATATTGCGAGGTGTTGAGAACTGATTAGGTCTCAGTACATGTTCACGACAAGTGGCTTTGAATAATGTTTTGATTAGAAATGACCTCTTGACATTCTCAACTATTGAACTCAATGACCTAGATTATAATACTGTAGGCTACTTTAATTTCATGAGTGAAGAAAATCAAGAAATCTTGTTATATTTAACTTTTGTTCAATATTCAAGGTAGCCGTGATGCGGTCTATTATCGTGAAAAATGTATGAATAATAAACTAGAGAGTCTGGAGAGACTAGTGTACAGGTCAGTCTGAGTATGCGAGTTTCCATGGCAATATACTGAAGTCATGGTGACAGCCAATCAGTGATGACACAAAATTCTTTTCCATCTATGTATTTACGTAGCAATTCACCAGGCTTGAGTGCATTGAGAAGGGCACACTGAATGACTGGATTCCAGGCTATATTCCAGGGTATTCTGGTATCGGATTTCTGGCAGCGAAAATAAATGATTTACAGTGATTGGATTAAATTAATTGATTGCTGATCCCACTAGACGTGAACAAGATTTGTATCTGTTATTTGTCAGATGTAGTTAGAGGTAATGTCTATTAAAAGTGAAAAGAGCATCTACGGTACTTAAATTGGATTTAATAGAATAAGTTTACAGTACTATACTAAGTCAGGTATCAAGAGCAATTTGCCTGTGCCAATATCTTGCTCTCAGCTTATTTCGTATCCCAAAATATATGTTTGGAACATGGTTAGAATGGAGACATACAGGTACTGTAAAATACTTTATTTTAGCTGGAATTAATTTTCGTTGAAAAGGCTTTTTGGGTGTTTTGTATGGAATTTATTTTCACTGATTTTTGATGAGTTGAATGTGAAATATAGGGAAAAAGGTATATTCGCTAGATTTTATTTTCACTGAAGCATGCCTTCAGCGAAAATAGCAAAAATAAATTCCATATTGTGGAATATACAAAGAATTGCTCTTGAATACATGCATATGTATTAGCGGTAACCCATGACGTGTGTTATGAGGAGAAAACTAACTCAACTACAATATTTCTAACTAGACTCCAAATGTCCCCTCTCTTCAAACTGTCTTTTAACAACTTCAGATAATGCAGCTAAGTAGTCCTTTAGAGAAACTGTACGAGTCTGAAATTTAAGAAAATAAAGAAATTACATGTAGTATAAAATAAAAATTCAACTGTCAGGACTTTCTTTTGTACGTCTCTATAACACATACATTATAAATTACTGAACTACTACTGTAATCACTCTATTAGAAATGTATACTATATACTGAATCATTAAAATATAACTTATTTTGGCCATAGATAGATTTTGGTCATTCACATAAACACATGCACTACTAATAGAAACAAGCTGCCTGTCGGCTGAGATAGCTCCGCTGTTAGCAATGCACATTTCAATTAAAGAACTGAAGACATCATTGGAAAAAGAACAATATGTAGGTATTAGTATCAAAGCAATCAGACTTGCTGTTTTCAACAAGAATTTGAAAATATCATTTTTACCAAAAATGACAAAAATATTCACCAAAAATAGAGAATTAAAGATATCATCACAAAATGAACAAATCTGAGAGGTCCACATTGTAGTACCTATATATGTAATCAGACATGCGATTTTTAACAAGAAGTTGAAAATATCACTTTTTACCAAAAAGATTCACCAAACTTAAGAGAAATAAAAGAAACATCATGAAATGAACAAATCTAAGAGAGGTCTACCCAAGGTACATATACACCAAGTATCAAAGCATTCTGGCTTGTAGTTTTCAAGAAGAAGTCGAAAAAGTAAAAACTTGACAAGGACGACGGACAATCACTCATATGATAAGTCGACAGCGAAGCTAAAAATATAGTGTACATGTAAATGATATACTGGTAACTTTAAAAGTTGATATAGACACACAATTGAAACTAAGAACTCCTATCGTGGTAGTCCATATAGCAATTTAATGCAGTTCTACTTAGTGAAACATCTATTACATTACCCATGGTAATCTACTACATTTTAGTTTTTAACATTTTAGTGAGACAAGATTTCCCTACTATACGAACGATTTTTTCATGATGCACCATGATAATGAGACACTATTAACATGCTCAGAGTAAATACATGTATTACCTGTATGTACAAGGCATGGGCTAAGAAAGGCAGCTTCCTTAGTGTTCTTCCACTGAGACCATGACTTTGACTGAAAATAACAATAAAACATGCTAACTATACCGGTAATTTTATTTAGGCGAAACAAATATATTCATCTTTCTGGTCTTTGCACATGTACATGTCACAGCTTTTTAACTATATAATATATAACTTTATACCTATATAATAAAAATATGCAGATGCACTGATTTTGAAACACCTATTTTTTTTTTCTAGGTCTTATATTGACACTTCACTTGCAAGCCTGTAAGTGGTGATCACAGCATTTATTTTGTGCATATACTTTACTTACTTGGCAATTTCCCAGAGTCTCATGCTAAGTTTGGTAGCATCATTTTCTTTAAATTCCATGACTTCCAGTGCTCTGAGATCTAACAACTGCTGAAGTGGTTGGATAATACGTTTCTGTGTATTAAATGAAAATGAAAATCAATGAAAAATGAAATTCATAAGGGCATTAATTGACGTGCCTGATATAAGTCACTCCATAGCTGTCTTAGATTTGGAAGCTTTTCACATACGAATGCCAGTCACCCATAATCTTATGAGATTTGTATTGTTTGTTATCATTTTGTGTTCACAAATAAGCTGGATGATGTTTTCTAACATGTCATGACATGACAGAGTTCCTGCTGTTCAATAATAAACAAAAATGTAATGAATCAGCTATTTTCAATTAGAACTTCGTACAAATGCATGTCAATATGTGTGACATGATGTATAATAGATATAGATATGGCTCCACAACACCGTTCATTATTACAAATTGTCCATCAGTTGCCAATCTGAAGAACAAAATAACATGCATCAATGTCCTATCATGTTCAATGTATATACCAAGTTTGAATAACTGTATGGCCGAGATTTGGTCTAGAATGGCAGAAATGAATGATTTTAATGCTTTATCTTGTACTGGATCAACTGATTCAAATGAATACATATGCATATGTGCAAAATGATAGGTTGGAATTTTATCGCTCAAAGCACGTCAAATATATAGCTCCGAAACAGCATTCATTATAACAAAATGGCCACTAGTCGGCCATTTTGAACCTGATCAGAAAAAGAAAATAATATGCAGCAAGGTATTATTATGTTACCATGATCAAAATCTGTCTTTGCACAATTAAGCTCCACTTTCGAAATTGGAGGTCAATCCTCCATCTGAACGGGGACTAAATGGCAGAACATATACATGTATACCCAAAGTGCATTTAATTTTGAATTTGATGACCAGGTGGTGATGACAATTACGATACATATACTTACTCTCATCAGTTCACACAGACATGAATGGTATATTTTGAATACAGCTGCTGGCGAGGGATGACCAATGTATTGTTTGATATCAGCTCTATCCACAAACGCAAGATCTATAGCACCGGTCACATTGGATGTCGTTAATATAATCACATTAGGATGCCTATATGAAGAATTAAAGTAAATATCACATCACAAAAGATACAAAAAATATTGATTTATTTCTCAATTGTGGTAGCCTGTTTAGCACAGTACGGGGTGATAAACATTCAATTTAATATTTATTCAATATTCCCACAAATATTCAATAATCATCATGGGTTACTATTCTGATTATTATTTATAAGAGAATAATTAAATATTAATTAATTATATTCTTCATATCTAATCAGGCTTCTAAAACAAACTACTTTCTAGGTAAAAAAAATATTTGCAGTGGACTACTGGTACAAGTAAAGTACCTACAGTGACTACACTTAAAAACTGAATGTGTAGAAATATATGCAAAAAAAAGGCTTTGAAGAATGAGGAAACTCCATCAAATTCATTATGTCTGAATTCAAATAGAATTTGTCTACTTCTAAAAATGATGTAAATAATTTAGCCCAAAAATAACAATTATTTATGAAAGAAAACGAAAAATGTACAATGCATACCAAATACAGTATATAATGAATATAAATGTATTACTTTTTGATTTGATCTATTTGCGTTAGTAACGCATTAACAACTCTGATAGCGTCTGACGGCTCGGCACCACTCATTGAACTCTTCCTTGCAGCAGTTAAACTTTCAACCTAAAAACAGATCAAACATAATCGCACCATCTGAATCATGTGCTTTAATACACCTTTGGAATGTAAACCTGCTTCAACCTAATCTGTGAGTGGGTGGAGTGGAATTATTAGAGCAATGCTGACAATACAACAACAAAAGAGTAAAATGACTGAAAACGAATTCAATTTGACTAGATAATTGATCACACAATATAGAAAAGCTTCAAGTTCTGTACAGTGGAAGCAAGTTAATCACCAATATCTTGGTGTCTACTCTACAATCTTCAGTTGTTTTGTCCAATATTTATTCTGAGAAATTACACAAGTCTTTACTGTGTTTTTATAAACAACAATGTGAAATCATAATAAAATGTTAACATACATAATATCTGGGTTCTCTATGGAGTGTTAGTAAATTTGCTAATCAAGAATAAAAACAAGAAATGGCAAACAATGTCTATAATTCATAAACATCATCATAATGTAATTTTTAATAATTTATCATGAGATTTTCAGTAAATTTTGAAAAAGAAAATTTCAACTTATTACATTGCCTGCTGATAGAGAGAACATAAAATATTGCATTAACTTATACAATTGCATTAACATACAGAGTTCACCAGCTAAGAATTAATACAGAGTATATATTAACAATCTGCTAAGGTGTTGAGAAGCATGGATTCCAAATGACATAATTTATGACCCAGAAATCTTCTGACATAACAATGAGTCATCTACCATGACCTAACATTGATGCCCCCCAGGGTAAAACATCAATAATCCAATGTACGTGCTTACCTCATCAATGAGAACACATATAAGAGCATCCTGGTTGTCTATGAATTCTTGAATTTTTTGAAACATCTTCATCACTAATTTACCACTCTATAAAAAATAAAAACGTATAAAAACATAAAAATTATTTTGTTATATACTGTACCATATTTGCTCCATTAGAAGGACATCTCAAAAGGAAACTCATAAAAAAAAATTGCGTTTATTGTATACTAGATCATTCAAATATGAAATATTTCATTTATTCATTTACTCTAGAATACTTTATTTTCGCTGAAGGAATGATTCAGTGAAAATAAAATCCGACGAATATACCGGTACCCTTTTTTCTTATATTTTACATTAAA